TTTAGTTTAGGGTATGAGGTAGGAGCAGGGTAGGGGTAGGGGCGGTTTAGGAGTAGGTAGGTAGGTTAGTTAGGTTAGGGGTAGGTTAGTTAGGGTTAGGAGTAGATAGGGCAGGGTAGGAAGACGGTAGGTTTAGGGGGTGGGGTAATAGTAGGTAGACGGTAGGAGCTAGGTTTAGGGGTAGGATAGAAGTAGGGTAGGTAGGTAGGTTAGTTAGGGTTAGGGGGGCGGTTTAGTTAGGTTAGGGGTAGGTTAGTTAGGGTTAGGAGTAGCTACCTACCTACTCTTACTTTGCCTCTAAACCTAGCTACCTACTGTCTACCTACCCTACCCCTTCCCCTCCTACTCCTAAACCGCCCCTCTTAACTACCTACCCTTCCTAAACCGCCCCTAACCTAACCAACCTACTTACCTACTCCTACTTCTAAACCRCCCCTAACCTACCTACCTACTGCTACTCCTAAACCTACTTAAACTACACCTAGACCTCTGCCGCCACTCCCACACCCCCCTAAGGGGGGGGCTTTTCTCGATCTTGGAACCAAACTGGAAATTGAAAAATCAAAGATCAAAACCAGGGGAAAGGACTGATTTTAAGAGAGTGAGCTTACCACCAAAAGAGAGAAACCTGACGAATTCCACGATAACAAGAAATAGAAATTAATCGTTACGTGGCTGATTGATTTTTTAAATATTTTATATTACATAACAATATTTTTTTTAATTTAGAAATGAAAAAATCAAAATGGTATCGAGATATAAAGAATTTGATCAATGGATGTTCAAATTCTCCACTTGCACCTGGAAAAAGAGYTGTACAACAAAAATCAAATGGTATTGAGATAAATTGATCAAGTTATGTTGAAATTCTCCACTTTGTACATGTAAGCCACATAAAAATATTTGTACAACACAAAACCCAAAAACACATAATCTCTGAAACTAAAATTCTTAATTAAAGCATATTAATTAATGAAAATTAAATTATATAGAGGCAGCCATATGAACACTTGGAATCACATCAAATATTTAATATATATTAATTAATATTGTACATAAGGGAAAAGTCTAAAAAAACTCAATAAACTTTAGTNCCATATGAACACTTGGAATCACATCAAATATTTAATATATATTAATTAATATTGTACATAAGGGAAAAGTCTAAAAAAACTCAATAAACTTTAGTGTTTGGAATGATTAAGTCCTTGAACAAATAAGTCCTTGGACTTTCTAAAACCTATTATATATATTCTTATGACCAATAAAACTAAGGAAAAAGTCTAAAATAACCCAATGGACTTTAGTGTTTGAAATGATTAAGCCATTGGACAATTTTTTGGAACAAATAAATCCTTGGACTTATTTTTATGACCTATACAATTGGTTAATGTGATAAAATATTGGAAAAGGTCCGAAAAAACCCAGTGAACATTCATATTTTGAACGATTAAGTCCTTATACATTTTTTGAACCAAAAAAATTTATATCTATAAAATTAAACAAATATAACAAAAAATAATTACATTTAAAAAAAAAAGTTTTGATAAAATTTATTTTAATTAAAATTAAAATATATTCTGTCAGTAATTTTTCAAG